CCCGTCACCATGAGGGACTTGTCTACTTACCTATGGGTCAGGGTGACGGGCGCAGTGGAAATGCTGCCAAATTTCACAACTCGTTCATCCCGATACTTGGAATCATAAAAAAATGAAACTTAAAAACACAAACAATTAACCTGATATTAATTCATCCAAATCAAAGAAACTGCGAACGCATCGTTTGAAAAATCTACTTATTCATAAAAATGCGTAAACACAGTCGTCACCCTCTGGATTCGTTCAAAAATTGAGTCCCACAGGAACAGAGACACCCTTTCGGTAAACATCCAAATCAATTATGCGAGAGGACCATCAATCTACCCCCTACAAGATAGTGATGTGCCTTTTCAAAATTAAAAAGTTTCATCCGAATATACTTGTTAAAATATTCATTTTCAGTGTGAGGAAATCTCTTCGAAGAAGTTTGACGAAACTTCGTATGTGAAGATCTTTCAAATTAGTCTATATTGCTGCCGCCTGCTAACTAATTTTAACTGTTTTTTGAATTTTGTGCTCTATTTTTTGCTATTTAAAACGCATATTTAACCATTTGTCACTGCAGCTAAGTGACAAATGGTTAAATATCGGTTTTAGTTAGTGGACGGCAGATTTACAAAAGTTACATTTAAAGTTAGTTAAATTTTGAATATGCATCATGTGGCTGTAGTAATTGTTACTTTATTAACCGACTTCAAAAAAGCAGGAGGTTCTCAATTCAACTTTTACAATCAAATTGCTTTGATTTGTGGACCGATTTTCATTATTCTTTTTTTGTTGGAAAGAGGGTACCTCTGATATGGTCCAATTTATTATTATTTAATTTCATTATATATCATTCACTTACAATTATATGGACGTCGGGTCCGCGCTAAAAAGTGTCCGAACTTATAGAGCGTTAAAATCGTATACAGTTCGACTGACAGCGAAGCAAGCAAAATTAGACAGTACTGCGATGACATTACAATTTAAATTCAACGTTTTAGCTTTTTCATATTCCTTTACATGTCACTACGTTTAAATAGGTTGACTTGGGACATTTATTTCGTGGTTTTTGTATTATACCCGTCGTCCATTTATTTGTAAGTCAATGTTATATATACATAATTTATTATATATTAATTTCAAGAAAATATTCCACCTCTAAGGGTGGCAAACTAAGGGATGAATCCGGTTTCGAGCACTTTCACTCGGAAAACGTGGGAAGTCCCCCAACCCGCATTAACTCTAACTTAAACCCACGCCTGAGAGAAAATCTGTGTCCAGCAGTGGACGAATAAATGGGTTGATGTACAATTGTTATTTCCATTCACGTTGATTTGAAGAATGTACCAACTTCATTTAACAATAATTTGAAAGACTTAATACACTCTTAAAAATCTGCAAAATTGCTTTTGGGATATACAAGCAAAATCAGATTTTTTTTCTTGGTTTGTGTATTCATACATTTCGTTTGTTCCACTCAAATGATTCAGTATCACTAAGAGCAACTTCCCTAGTTTAAAAACTGTTTGTCATCGACTGTACATTATTTCTGATCCCGCTGACTGTTCCCTCAAATCGCTGAAAAACATACATCATTGGAAAAACGGATCACAAAGTGACGAATCACAGGAAGTGACGGATCGTGAGTGGAAAATATTTTGTTACCCCCCCACTTGCTTAGACTGAGGTGACAGACATGCCCTTAATGTTTTTAAGTGACAATGTTGTTCCTCATGACGATCATAATAATTTTGATTTATTTTAGATTAGAAAAGGAACACTGCTTTTTTTAAAGCGACTTGAAAAAAGGAGAAGGTTCTCAATTTGACTGTATTTTTTATGTGTATGTTAGACGATTTCTCCGGCATTTGTGAATTGATTTAGATGATTCTCTTTCTGTTGGAAAGAGGGTAGGTACCTCAGTATTGGTCCCAATTAAACTTGAAGAACCTATTCCACTTCTAAGAGTGGCAAACTAGGGAATGAATCCGGAGTCGCACACTTTGCGGAAACTGATTTCATTAAAACTTTGCACATAGATAATAATAATAACATAATAATAATTATTATTATTATAATAATTATAAAAAAGTTATAATTATTATGATACCAAATGATACACCCATCCATAACAGTTGCAGTGTCACTCATAGCTTCAAAATGCAAATAACTGAAGGGCACTGCCACTGAGTCCGTCACCCTGTGACATCAATTGACAAGTTCCATGCGTCTGTAATTTCACCAGCTTCCTTACCCTTCAAAACCGGAACGCAGTCAGGCTCACATTACTATTGGGCGGCATAAATAGATACGGTGGCAGTACTTCTCTGAACAAACTCGTTTACAAGGAGCTCTAATCTGGGCTCGCACCTCTGAGTTTCTCGGAATTTATGATCGAAATTTACCATGACCTTTCCAGTGGCGGGCGGAATTGCGGGGTAAACCTGAATGAGAGTAACATGGGTCTGTAGGGAATAGCACAGGAACTTATACCCAGCAGAAGGTGAAGTTAGGCTGTATATGTTGATGATTCCGATGAAGGAATACATCAACCCTCGGAAAATGTGTTAAATCCCCGCATTAAAATGTAAATGGGTTGTTGTTGATGACTTTGCTCAAGATGAACACAGCACGAGTAACAAAAGCTAGACTGAAACCAAGAAAATAAACACAATACGAGTACATTTAGAAAAGTTTAATATAACACATAACGTAGGTATCTATCTAACAACGGGTAACTACTTTCTAACTTGTAAAAAATTAAAAGTAACCATTGCAGCACCATACACGTAACTTTATGACGTAGCACATCAGTCATACATAATAATTACATATTATAGTTGCCCATGGAAAGGTTATGAGAGTCATGCAAAACAACCGTTTTAACCATACACCTCGTACCTGAATCATATATGACACCTCGTGTTAAATTATATGGCATGAAAAATTCGTCACAATAATGTCAAACAATATATACGTCGATGATTCCCAAAGTGGTGAATATCGACCCCCCAAAACTGCAATCTAAGGGGTCTAAAACTATTAACTAATCGAAAAAAAAGGAGTACATGAGTGGAACTCATTTAGGTGGCTCGTGATCAAAATTTTAGCTTTCCATAAATGTAGGATAATCCACATTATACAAATAGTTGCTCTGGAAGCGATATTTCAACATAATACTTTCTGTGTATGTGTAACAATCGCGAAAACCTAAGAACTCGTATTACAAAATACACATGAATTAGATATGAAGTATAAATTACAAACAACAAACAAGATTTTATGCTAAATAAATGTATAGAATTTAACGTATTTTTATAAAGTTTCTCCGCGTACAGTTAAACTAGTAAAAAATGCGTAACACCGTGTCAGCTGTCAAATACACATTTGAAGTTGGAATTTGTAAAAAAATGTATATTAGAAAGGCAAGAGGTCTACGAAAACCAGAATTAATTGGCACGTGCTCTACGAGACAAAAAAAGTTTGGCATCTTTGAACTAAATGAATACTTTTTTTAGATAAAATCAATGATCTTATATACAACATAAAACCGCTATGTACTGCAAAAATAGTATACTAGATATGAATACTATGTTTACAGTAGTTGTAAGGTTAATTGTGACAAAAATATACCTAGTAAATTTTTATGTTCTAAGCCATGTACAATTTCGTTTGTTTTATTTTTTTACAACTAATGTTGTATGTGTTGTCATTTAAGCCACGATAGATAAAGCAGACTTACGTTGTTCTTTCTCTTTTAAATTTAATAAATTCAAGCCAAGAAATGAATCAACAAAGTAACATCGACGATCCGATTGGTGAATTTTGTTCACATTGACATTTTGCATAATTGTGACTGACATTGTGCACTGAATGTTTAATTTTAATCGTATCTTTAAATTGTATTCAAGCTTTATAAATGTTATCGGTGCAATAATATGGCAACATAGCAATCTAATCGCCATTTGAAAAAAAAAATGTGTTAATGGCCGTCACAGATATTATGATGTTAAATAAGTGAAATAAATATCTAAAAACAAAGAATCAACGACAAGCCAAAATCATTATAAAACTTAAATAGTGACTGATAAACCTCACTTTAGGCGTTATTACCATTTACTGAACTCCAAAAGGGTAGTGGTACGAGATCCTGGGCATGTCGTTGGGAACGTAGTGCAAATCCTGATATGCCTTCACCATCATCTGTTGGTTCACCACAGCGAATGGCCTTGGGGATATACTCTCAATCGACGGCAGCGGCCTCAATTCTAGACTTGGCAAAGGTTCCTCCTTGGGTCTGGATACTGGCACATAAGTCGCCTGAGGCATAGAAGGAACTGTATAACTGATCATATTATTATACATTAACTGGTCAGGGTAATTCAAAGACATATGATAATTGGTATCTACTCTTGGTTCTATCTCCACGAAAGCATCTCTTGTAGTATATATTGCTGGATTAGAAAACGGTGTATCAATTCTATTCTTCCGTCTAGGACGGTATTTGTAGTCTGGATAATCCTGCATATGTTTTATTCTCAAACGCTTGGCTTCGTCGATGAAAGGTCTTTTTTCTGTTTCGCCCAAATTCTTCCACTCCAAGCCTAGACGCTTGGATATCTCAGAGTTGTGTAGTTTGGGGTTCATTAATGATATCTTCTTACGTTGAAGCCGTGACCACACCATGAAAGCGTTCATTGGTCGTTTTATGTGATACGGGTTGTTGTTTCTTGTTTTCTGATTTTGCTTCACTGGCGTTGTTGGTTCCATTTGACATGACATTTTAAACTTAATTTAACGCTAAGAAAGCTAAATAAACGTTTCCTTTTCTGGGAATTCTTCATATGAACATTTACTGTTCCAAATCCATCAAAATGTTTCTAATAACTCTTTATGCTTTTCGCCACTAAATACTGTTTCGTTTTCACTATAATCTTGTCTTCCACGAAAGAACTTCTAGCAATCACTTTCACAACGTCAAAATTCAACAAAAACCGCTATAATCGCTATCTTCACCCATTTGTTCACTTGAAATTGCACTTCAAGTCGGGTGTTCCAATTACAAGAAATCAGCTGTTCAATATAAATCAGACAACTAAAACCCTGATCAGACAAGCGGCCAGATCCTGACTGATTGATGGTCAGTTTCGAAGTCAACTAAACCTGAATGCTGTCATTAGACCAACAATGGGCCAGGCACAATTGGAATGACAATTTTCCATGTATTATTCGCCGGTGAATAAAGAGCGGCGACAATGCTCTGATTGCTCACAAATTGTCAAATGATACTGCTGTATGTTTTGTCCGAGGCGCGCCTGCGACGTCTATTAAAAAGATGTAGGGTTGGAACAAAAACTAACTTTTTTGTTATTGTAGAGTAATTACGCTTGTCGATTTTTGAGGTTAGTTGAGGTTATATTTCGGTAAGACAAGATATCTCATGAAACTCAACTAGATTATTAATCAAAAGCTACCTTTTCCATAGAGGATCATAAGAATTCTTGTAAATATACATAACTGAAATAACATTTACAACACTTATTGAAAAGATTCATTAGACGGACCTTCACAGCAACGAAACGTATGGCTTATAAACCCAATGACTGAACACTGCAGATCTAAGTCTCCTATAAAATATGAAAGTGACCCAGCAACGGAAGTGTTTTCCCTAATGTAGGTCACAAATCCAAGGTCACATTACGAGTACTTCCTGTATTCAAACACACCTTTTATGGACATTTATTTCTATTGTATTTCTATTATAGCACATAGAGGAGTGGGCCATGCTTTTGTAAGTATAGAACTATTGCTATACATACCATTGAATGTGGCGCATTAGATTTGATTTGTTTGCACTAGGCTTGGCTATTGTACGTTGTGGATTGGATTTAATTCCTTTCAAGCACAATAGGATCTAAAATTGAAGCTTAATTCTTCGCTGCACCTTTAATTCACTTCTTTTATACGAAAGAAGCTTTAAATAATATTAATTTTTTACTGAACTTAATTAAAAATTTAATTTAACAGAATATTCCAACAACAAAATTACTGTTTTTTATTGCTGAAGGAAAACTCAACTTTGCCGCTTTTTTAACGTTTGGTAGACTATAGCTAGAACATTATGAGAGACATTATGTTACATTATTTTTACAATAATAAAAACCTTTCAACAAAAATTCAACCTTTTACCGCCATCTCATAGTGTAAAAACGCACTAAGCACTTACCACCCTATCCTGTGCAATGTACCGCAACCTATTGAAATAAAATAGAACTACGTTGTACTTTAGTACAATTTATCATGCTTCACAAAGTGATGCAGAAAATAACTGTAGATGGCACTGTCAGATATTAGTTCACCGCCTGCGATAGATGGCAGCAGCAGTATCATTTCATCGTGTCCATAAAGCAAAATTTTTGTGTAGTTGGTTTTCGTCATATGCTACTCAAATTATTTAAAAAAATGTTAATACTCATATAAAATTAGTAAAAAGCCAACGATACCGCGTATTCCGCGTGCGGTCACCCATCCAACCTACTAACCGCATAATACTAACCGCACCTGACGTTGCTTAACTTCGGTGATCGAACGCGAGAGTTATCAAAATTGGCAAACATTTAGATTAGGTACGTTTATCATAATCATTGTCTATATAATTATTTTATTAATATACATTGACTTACAAAAGTCAATGTTAATATAATAAAGTTGTATTGTAAATCGGATTCACCACGCCACGCAGGGGTTTGATTCCCGGGCCTTAAGAAATATTTCCTTGTGCAGAACTATGAGTGTGTACGGACTTGTGCTTGGTACATCTGAAGCAACTGTCCCGGTGTGAATTAACGCGTCACCTTGGAAAGGATGCCAAGCTTCCTGGCTGTATTTTTACCATAGACTCAATGTATCTTCCGACGTTCAGATTGGACGACAGGTCCATTCCAAGTAGCTGGAGACGGTCGGTTATCGCTATATGGACTATATGGTGTAATACAAAAACCACGAAAAAAATGTCCCAAGTCAACCTATTTAAACGTAGTGACATGTAAAGGAATATGAAAAAACTAAAACGTTGAATTTAAATTGTAATGTCATCGTAGTACTGTCTAATTTTGCTTGCTTCGCTGTCAGTCGAACAAACGAAGACTAAAGCGTGAATGACGCTCTGTATACGATTTTAACGCCCTATAAGTTCGGACACTTTTTAGCGCGGACCCGACGTCCATATAATTGTAAGTCAATGCATGTGGCACGCGCTTTTATCTAAGTCACAACTGCAAGAGATTTCTCATGAAACTTTAATGGCAATTTGGCATGCTGTTTAAGATGCACAAGGCCGCCTAACATAGTATCTATTATGTCTTCTATTTTCTACAGATAACGTTTATTAAATAAACTCTCTATAATACAAAAGAATTTCCATAAGAAGTAATTTTTCAAGAAAATAACGAATGAAAAGGCGAAACAACCAACAAGCATACCACTTTGGCAGTCGTAAACCTGTGGTTTGTAAATCAGCGGCGTACAGAGGGAGTAAGCAGTCGTCACCATATTTATGGAAATAAGACGCTCCTCCATAATAGAAAACACAAAAAGAGGCCGGCGATATAAAAAGACTTTTACAGGCTACGATTTGCGAGGTCGTGAAAATATATAAGAAAAACTTTTTATGCTGTTTTGAGAAATGTATCATAATCTCCCCACGCCACACAATATGATATTTTTGAGTTATTTGAGGATGAATAAAGAGATTTTCGAATTTTTGTTAAATAAAGTGGAACCAAAAATAACAAAGCAAAGCACACAGGTGCGTGATAGCATTTCTACAAATTTTTGGCTTTATGAAGAAATTATTACGGCTTATGGTCTCAGAGGATGGAAAAATATTAAGGAACTTACGGTACAGTGTTTGTCCATTCATGCACCTGGCAATACTCGTTCGTCCCGTCACCCCTTAAGAACAAAAAATAACTACAATGATCATTTTAAATTTGGAGAAGCATGTTGCATGTCATAATCGGCCTCTAATTACTGAAATAATATTCCACCACCTATACGCAACGAGACAACCAAACCCAAATTCAAATCACTGTACCGGCAACACCTACTCTCACGTGTTTGTATTCTTTTCCGTAACCAGTCTAGAATCGAATTTTGTTTTTGCTTTGATCTACTCACATTATATGTATGCATTATACGTACTAAATACATTCTACAACATTAAACCTAGTTACAATCACAATTCACTCCTACAGCTGTAATTATATGCACACTCGCCCATGCACCTACATGTCAAACAGGTTGTTTTATTTTATTATGCACTATTTACACTTTACTATGTATATTATCTCAATGTATGGATTTACACATAGTCGCTATATTTTTCCTTTCAAATAACTTAATCCATCTCGTTCGTCCTGACTAAAAACCAGCGCCTTAGGAAACTTTGGCATATGCTGAGTCAGCGCCCTTTCACTGCTATGACAATCATGTTTTTTCTTTTAAGCTTAATCTGTATTTTTGCTACATCAGTGAATAAAGTGCTTATCTATCTAGGTATCTATCTATCTATCTATCTAATCTTGTTCGTCATGGGGTGACATGTCCTACCTGAGTTCGGCTATCATTATGGCAATTTGGGTCCGTGAAGGTGCGGCTCGGAACATTCCTATGGTACTCATATTGAACCAATCCAATCTGCAAGATTTTGAAGCCATGTTGTGGTTTTTCTGCGGTCCAGGATTTTTTTCCTGCACAATAAGTTGCAGTAGAGAGTACTTATCAGTCCTCATGATGTGCCCGAACTACTGCAGCTTCGTCCTTTCATCTCCATCCTTTCCATCTATCTAATAGGTTAATATAACTCATAATAACAAAGGACGACCGTAACAAATTTTCAAACCATATGTTGTACAGTTCTTACTTTATACTTTATTTGTTTTAGTTTATTTAGCCCTACCCATCACACACGACAATTTTTATTTTTATTCTAATAGTAACTTGTGGATAATGCTGTTGATTGTACGTGTACCTATGTTAGAAATATTTAACTCTGATTGTAAACATTTCATGTACATTTGTTTGTTATCCCTGAAAAATAAATAAATAAAAAAAATAAATAAAAAAAAAATTCAAAAACAAAAAAAAATATATTACAAATTGTACTACGCTCTAAATACAATGGCTTTTGTAAATTCCGCATAACAATGAAAATGTTGACACGGTGTAATACCACGATTTCTAATTCACGTTAGAAAAGAAACACAAACTTACCTCGAAATTTTACAAGAAAAACACTGCATTCAATAGGTATTTTACGTATACCAATATTTTCTTTTATATCAACAGAACTAAATAAAACACGTATATTATACGATACATTTTCAAATGGCTCTAATTTTGTGAAAATATTAATTCTGAAATAAATCCATTGTGCCTGCCGCTCGAGCCAAGCAAAATAAACCGCGTTAGTACGGAAAAATTATATTTTCCGTTCGAGCCGAGGTTGTTAAATAAACAGAAAAATGAAGTCTTCAATGTTACATATAGTGTAAAGACACCTTAAGTCCTAACTTATTGTTATTGCCGATTTGAGCCTCAGTTTTATGCGGGCGGCCCTCCACTGCATCTATTTAGGTTTATATAGATTTATTGGCCGATACTTGCCAAGTAAACGGTGGTTCTCTGTAAATAGCATTTAACTTTGTTATTTATTTATTAGTTCGTTACATCGGTTTTTATGACGGGAATCTTATTCACGGTGGAAATGTAATTTGCCTATATATGACAATAATCATGTCGTCATCAACTCATTATATGCCCCACTGCTGAGCATGTGTCTTCTCTAAGAAGACGGTTTGGGTTATAGTGTGCTATGCTGCCTTAATGCGGATTGAGAACTTCACTCGTAAACACGAC